AGGGGGGTTGACATGTGGAATTGTGGAGAAGGGTTGGAACGGGCATGGTAAGCCCCGCCTTTGTGCAGATTGAGCAAGAGTAAACCCCTTGTGGTGTAGTTGGCTATCACGTTCGGCTGTAAAGGAATTTATTGATACCGAAAGGTCACCGGCTCGATTCCGGTCGAGGGGAAATCGTTTTTGCATTTTTTTCTCTTTCTCTACTCTAGAGTAGAGGGGACTCAACTTCTTTTCTTTGTTTTGTTGCTTTCTTTTTTTTTCTGCCCGCAACGCTTCACTTTATTCATAATCTACTAACTATTTGATACTGTTTCCTTAACACTTGATAGCCATTGAATGCTGACCCATCAGGACTTGCGTTTCGCTACAGGCCTATCCTTCGCTCTATATATGATGTCCTTTCCAGATGACCGTCAAGTACGATTCTGATTGGGTTCATCTCCCTATTCATCTTCGTTTTTAAGGTATTACACGTCGACCCGATCCAAATCACCGTCCGTTCCGGGAGATGTCTCCATGGCCTTGAGCTCCAACACCGAACTTTCCCTTACTAACGTTTTGGCAAGATCTTCCCTGGCTGATCTGACGTCGTTGTCGGTATCGTCAACAGAAACAACACGGTTGGTCTTTCCGTTGGCTTTGTGACGATCTGGTAACACAGCGATGCACAGTCAGCGTGAGACATGCAACCCTGCCGGCCACATGGCAGACCCGCGAATCCTAAGGGAGCTCGACTGCCCCTCCCTCGCCGGCTTCCTGATTTGAGAGAAGACTCGACGCCTCGAAGCGCCACAGAGCGGCATCATTGACCCCGAATGAGACAAGCGCAGCTGTCCACGCCAATGGCATCGATGCCTGTCTTTGTCTAGCTGTGCGTGCCGTGGGAAGAGGGTGGGTTGGAATAAAGGCGGCACCAGCGGGTCCCCCGCCTTGAAGATCATGTCGTTAATCTGTCTTTTTGTCTTGCTTCTCACCCCCAGCTGCGGGGACAATGCATCGCGACTTTTTTTGATGCAAGGGAAAAGTATCCAGAAAAATATCATTGCTCTGACAACACGGCTGATATTTATCGCCCAAACCTCCCGCGAAGCAGCTTTCGGCGTCCCAAGATCTATATCATCCATCTACTAAGCAGCGACAGGACTGCCGCTCCCTCGGTCCGTCCCCGAAAGTAACCACAGGCGCCGCCCCTCTGGTAACGGCACGCTGCTTTTAGGCTCGACCCATCCAGTCTCAATCCAGCTTTATTAGGTGGCCATGGAGCAACACCGGAAACACTCGGCCTCTCGTCCAATCGAGTATCTTCTCTCAGGCATCTCGTCGACATCGGCCATCCTCACACGCTTCATCCGGTCTGTGCGAGCCTCCCATTCCGATCTGTCTGCTGTAACCCGCGAACTGTCCGACCTCCGGCTTTTGCTAGAACTTCTTCGGGATGAACCTTCTATTCCGTTATTGCTCCAGGCGCAAATGCTGCTGTTGCTGGAAAGCTGTGGGAATACACTGATACGCATCGATTCTATCCTTGCGCGCTGCCGAGATACATCGGCATGGAGTCAAACGGGACAAGCCCAGATTGGACAGTGTCGCGAGAATTTGGGGCTACTTCGAGAGGTGCTGGGACTGGCTTTGGATATTCTGAGTTTGTATGCTCATGTTCCCTCTCTTCTTCCTCAGCTGCCTCTCAATCATATCCTATGCTAATTGCGTTCTGAAGAGATCCATCGCAACAAAGCAATGCTTCTGAAGCCAACACGATCAAAGAGGATGTCAAGGCTGAAGTTGAGCGCCTACGAGTCAAAACGCAGTCTACCGAGAAGCATGACCCAGACACGAGCCAAGTCCTTGCCTTGTATCTTGATGCTGTCACCAACTGCGTGCGTTCGTTCGAGAATTCTCAAGCAGCACGCGAGAGATCCGGCTCCGAGGAAACAGTGTAAGCCTCTGAAGAAATCGCTTCACAAAGGGTGTGCTAACAACAGCCAGAACAACGGGCGACTCTGTAAAACCAGACAAGCTGAGCATCGAGGAGAATCTTGAAGCAATTCGCCTGTCTCAGAAGACGCCTGTACCAGCAGACAAGCCAAAGTCTAATGATGAGCCAGCAGGGAAAGGTGCGGCGTCACATGCCAGGCCACCGATGCCACATGAAGACGCCGACAAATGGACATCTTCTCGAACCAATGCCTTTTCCTACTACAGTGGCCAGCCGGACTCGATCACAGTGAAGCGTCCTGAAGATCATGAGCCATTACCAGACATGCCACCATTACCATCACCACCGCCAGTACAGGCACCCTCTGCACCTCCTGCACACCCGCTTCCTGAATCACCGACACTACCAGGCCGGTCAGGCACATCTACACCAGTACCGCAACGAGAAGTCAATCTTCCACCGCCCTTGACAAGATCGGCTTGGAGCCATGAAGACTCCCCATCCACCAAGTCCGAGCCATTTGGCTCAGGAAGCTATCTCGAACCCGAGTCTCCCACCTTCGCACCTGAGCGTTGGTCTGAGCCCGTTCCGGCTTCCCAGGGGTACCCGGAAACCGAACACTCCCGCCAGATATCAGCAGACCCGAGCCAAAGCCCACAATCAACAAGAGACAGCCCTCGCACTTCATTCTCACATCATCGTATCAACTCTGGTATCAGCGAAGTTTCAGCGATTCATTCAGACACTTCCAGCCCCCAGCAGCCGTCTCCCGGTCCTTCCATGATCAGTGCTATGTCGCCCTATCACCAGTCTCCCCCGTTTTCACCACCGCCTGACTATCGTCGAACTCCGACGCCCAAGTCTCAGTGGGCACATGGGATGATATCACCGGGTCTCATCTCTCCTAGTCTCATATCTCCAAGCGTCAACACTCCAAGCATCATCGCACCAAGTATTGCGTCCGCTAGTCAGCTCACCATACCGACACCGGCTAAGCATAGTGGGTATCAAGGCCGACTTGAGGTTACTCCCGTTCGTCATCTGACAGACAAGGGCAAGTCAAGTCAGATCCTGCACATCGACACTTCACCGGCAAACATGTTTGTCGCCACCAAGCACGACACCAAAATCGTCAAAATCTGGTCCATTTCCAAAAACGCCGTACACAGCACCATCAAAATCACGTCGTATGTCCAGCCGCAAGTCCGATCGAGAGAGTATTTCATCCGCAGCCACGCCATCCTTTCGGAGAATGCCACCCTCATCGGCATCACCACTCACTTCGGGTTGACTCTCGAAATCTTCAACTTTTGCAAAGGCGGCACCTCGGCCAAAAAGGTTCAGGTTATCGACGAAGCCCACCGCTGGGCAGCTTCCAAACGCGATGCCTACCACACAGACTACGCACCTCTGGTGGTGTACCGTCCCAAAGGCGATAGAATCGACCGCTTCTTCCTCGCCCGGCATCCTTCAGCGAAGAAGCCTTTCTGGGAGGACTCGACTCACTCCATTGAGTTCCTCAAAGCCGAGTTACCCTTCGTACCTAAATTCCCCGAGCTGGCATTCTCTTCTGATTCTCCATTCTTGGTAGCTGCCGCTGGACCAAGGCCGGGTGACCCCCCGAGAGCACACACAACGATTCTGATAGCCTGGCTGATGAAACCTACCTCTGATCACAAACTCCGCGCCCGCACCCCGAACGCGACGGTGACTTCGTTGGAAGATGAAGACCGTCACAAACCTTACCGGGTGAACATCCCAGAGTACCCCGCCTTGCAAACCGCCCTTCCCGCTTCATTAATCGCCCATGGGTCACTGGCAGTCTCAATCTGGATTCCCGCCAACCACACCGACGTTGCCGTTCCCGGAGGGAAATACCGCCGGCACCCCATCCCCGCCCCAGAACGTTTTGTTGTTATATGGGACCTCCCCGCCAACTCCACCCGGATATTCGCCATCCCCAACGTCCAAGCATGCATCTCCCCCAATTGCAAATACGTAGCATACTGCGACGCCAACGCCGGACAGTTTGTCATAATCGAAGTGGAAACCGCGGAAGAAATTTGGAAGTGGCCGGACGCAGCCAAGGGGAACAACAATAGCAATAACAATAAGAACTTTGCGGGGTTTGGCCGGCAGTTTGAGGATTTGCACAAAGTGACGGTGTTTGAGTTTTCGCCGGATGGGAAGATGTTGGTTGTGGGGGATGATAAGGGGAGTTTGGGGGTGTATGAGGTGGAGAAGGGGGAGGAGAGGTTTGAGTTGGGGAGTGGGATGGAGGTTAGTTTGGCGGATGTGGGGCATTACCCTGCTGAGGTTGTTGGGGGGGTGGGACAGAATCAGAGTAGGTTTTCGAATTCGAGTTTGTATGTGCCGTTGGGTTGGCAGGGTCAGCAGCAGCAAGGGGGAGGGGGGGGAAGTGGGAGTAGTGGGAGTGGGAGTGGGACTTTGAGGGGGTGGCTACACGGGGGGAGGAATGGGGTTAATGAGTTGCACTCTTGAGGGGTGACGGGTGGTTCTACCTATCTTTGGGGGTCAAGGGGGGTGGTAAGGGGAGGGGAGCTTTTTTGATGAGTTGGTGGGTGAGGACTTGGTTTTGGATGTGGGTGACGTTTTGGGGGGAAAGGGGATAATGATTTTGGTTTTGGATAAGCTGGTACGTGAATGAGATACCCGGTGATGGCTGGTAGGAGGAGAAGAGTGTAAAGAGTGTGATGAGGTATAGATTGTTTGGAGGGTTGGATCTCTTGGATTGTATCTATCCCCTTTTTGGTCATTCTACTTTATTAGCTCTTATTGGTCAATAGTCGCTTCTAAAATATAAATGCGCATATTTCGAGGAATGTGCGAACATTTCGTTCAGTCTTTATTGGTGTTGAGAACTGGGGAGTCATGTAGCTACCTTATGGACAAAGCGCGTTGACCCAGGACCCAACGTCCAATTACACCAAGGCAGGGAAGCATGGTATGTAAAAGCAACCAAGAAAAAAACCAGGCAGCATGCCCCAAAAGAGAAGATGTAGAGTTGAAACTATGAGGATGGGGGTAAAAATGCAAAAGTATGGGGCCGAGCCAGGGCTCGAACCTGGGACCACTTGCAAGAGCAATGAGAGAAGTTCCCAAAGCAAGTATGCTACCACTACACCACACGGCCTTGAATGGATTACTGATAAAACTTTGCAAATACAATGCCTATGCCATTGTTTGCATGTTTTGTTTTGCAACATCGAGGTTCTGTTTCTTACCTTGCTGTACCTCGTGTTCTCTGTTAACAACTCATCACTGGACCACTCATCACTGGACCACTCATCACTGAACCACTCATCACTAAACCACTTATCATTAAACCACTCATCATTAAACCACTCATCATTAAACCACTCATCACTGAACCACTCATCACTGGACCTTTAACATAACATTCTGGCAAAAGCTCAATCAATCGATTACATTTCGTGTATGGGGGGGGTCTAATTATCTACAAACCCATCAACAATATCCACAAAAAAGAAACTACCAACAACTCTTCTCTCCACTCCCAGCATCATCATCATCATCCCAAGATCCCCCCCCCTCTTTCTTCTTCCCTTACCCAACCTTAGTAAAAGTAACATCATCCACATAAAACGTCGTCCCCACCGTCCCCAGCGTAGCCGCATACGTAAAACTCAGCGTCCCAAACGACGTCGTCGGCGTCAGCGTAAACTTTTGCTGGATCCACCTCCCCGTCACCTGATTGCTCATCTGCACCACCAGCGGCAGGCTCGTGCCCGGGTACTCGACTCTTAACGACAAGGTCCCCCGGGATAGGTTGCTGAGGGAGTAATACCAAAACGAAAACTCGTATCTCCCGCCGGGCTCGAAGCGGACTCTGTGCTGCCAGCCGATGACGTCGGTGGCGAGGTTGTTGTAGACTAGCTTGAGGGAGTAGGAGCCGCTGTGGGCTTGCTCGGTGGTGATGGTGCTGATGAGGTTGTTTGGGGTGGTGGGGGGATTTCTTTCCAGGAGCCGAGGGTGCCGGATTCGAAGCTGGGGTTGTCGAAGGGGGGGATGATGGGGGTGGAAGTGGGGGATGATGGAGGGGCGCAGGCGGAGGTGGAGGTGCAGTAGATGGGGGCGGAGGAGATGCAAGCGTGGGCGCTGGAGGGGTTGAATTCGGGTTGGCCGAGGGCGGAGAAGCAGGGGGAGACTTCGGGGATGAGTTGGGAGTCGTAGCCGCGGAGTTGGCTGTTGCAGGAGTTGATGTGCGCTGTGAGGGAGGGGGCGGGGAGGGTGGTGATGGTCATGCTGTTGCAGCGGGCTGGGACGGAGCGCCAGCAGAGTTCTGGGGCCCAGGTTGCAATGGTGGGTTCGCAAGCTGATGTGGTGGTGATGAGTTCTGATGTTGTGGTTGGCTCTTCGGTGGTGCTGGGGACGGGGGACTCTGTGGTAGGTCCCGGTGTAGGCTCTGGTGTAGGCTCCGGTGTAGGCTCCGTTGTAGGTTCAGTTGGAGGCTCAGTTGTAGGCTCCGTTATCGTCTCGGTGGTAGACTCTGTTGTCGATTCCGTGGTTGACTTCGTAGTTGACTCTGTTGTTGGCTCTGCTGGCAATGATTCAGTTGTCATGAGTGGCTCCGTTGACGTTGGTTCCTCAAGAGCAACAGAGGACTCTGTTGTCGACAGCGACTCGGAAGTAGAAGTTGGAATGACGATAGTCTCAAACGTCGAGGCTGAGGTCGAAACCGGAAGCGCCGATTCTGTAGAGGATATCACCGGCAGAGCGGAGGATGACAATGTATGCGGCGGGCTGCAACGGCCCCGTCTGCGGTGTTTCTTGAGGACTGCGCCATTTGCGTTCTGATAAGCTGACACTTCACCGATAGCAATGAAAGCAAAGACAGTGGCAGCCCGCAGGCTCAAACGAGTGTACTTCATTTTTGATGATCCCAATGTCTCTTTGCAGAAGACAGGTGCCAAAAGCAGAAGACAAGTTTGACAGTAAACATTGTGAGATGGCTTTCTGTTTATTTGCCATCCAGCTCAATTTCCAGGGCTCACGGCTGAAGTCCAGAAGCATGATGGAACGCCTGGATAGGAACGCTATTGGCAAAATTTACAATAGTGCCAAGCTAAACCCGGCGTAGATCACCAAAGTGGCTTGGTGTTGATCAATGCGGACCCGAAGCCGAGCTGAGCAATTGATGACCCAGTCTCCCGGGACCAGGATGCATCAACCCATCTCCACAACGGTCCAGACCACCACAGACTCAAAACACTATCTACCCTATCGCGCTGTGGACAAAAAGACCGCGACTGCAAATGGTGAACAGGTATCAAAACACAGTCAACAGACCGCACAAGATACCTTGGTCGACAGGCCTTGAAAGATAATCGATAGGTCCTAAAAGATGGCCGGTAGACCTTTAAGGATAGTCGAAAGGCGTTCTGAGATAGTCGATAGGTATTTAGAACGGTCTAATATGTCTTTAAATATAATTGGAACGTCTATAATTACCAATCTCAAATGCAGCGCAACAGTGTGACTTAGAAAATGTGGCAGGACTTCATGTGGCACAAAGCCTGGATACCTACCTCATGGATGATCCGCTCAGGAATAAAGAGAAATAGTGTCAATTCGATAGATAGGGTTTGCCTCAAACGAAAAGTGAGTCCGGACGCTGAGGATGGTCAAGGGGCAGAGCAGTCAGTTGTGGCTAACAGCTCCGCCATTGAGACTATGCCCAAGTCCTCAAGGGAGACCGCAATCAGGAATCTGGACAGGAAAAGCAAGAAGCGCAAGGAAATGGAAACAAAACACCGGCTGGGGGACCTCGGTCGTTGATACCATCGTTCGGCAGAGACCTAGACAATTTTAGAGGAAATCTTTAGCTACCGCAAAAGTCTAAATGCGGGTGCGTCCAATTCTCCTCCCTCTCCGATTCGGAAAGGAGTCTTATCGCGCCGCCTGGTTAATCTATAAAATATGCTTATATCCTATCAGTTACCACGGCTGCTTGATGCACCCCTATGTTTTCTTTCCGCTTAACTATAAATAGAAATTTCGGAATATCAAAGCCGTCAAAGTGCTTCCAGTTGGCAAAATGAAGGAGCTACCCATCATGATCTGTTTTTTTGGCCATATCTAGGTAAGCGATGAGATCCTATGAGGTATACTATGTCTTCAAACAACGGGTTTTCAGTTTCTTTATAATTTGCTCATTCACTCATAACCTTAAGGTTATCAGCCCATCCTTCCCCTCTCCACCTCTCTTTCCCATCTCCACCCCTCCAAAGCGCCCATCGAACACCCCCAGGAAACTCGAAAAGCGTTTAGAGAAGAGTGAAAGAAGAAGGCCCAGAATAAGAGCTAGCAGTCCATTCCGACCCGGGGCTAATACGAGCCAGGTTGACGCTAGTGCCGATGACATGAGCATCGCTCAGGACGATGCGGTAGTCGCCGAGTGCCTTGTTGATGCGGAGGTAGACGGCAGGGTCGCTGCTGGTGAAGAAGCCAGTGTTGGTCGGGATGGTGGAGCCGGAGGTGGTGTGGGTGAAGGTGACGGCTACGTTTTCGGGGAGGATGACCGCGCGGGCGGTGTAACTAGACTATTGTCAGACGGGATCTCAGAACATGAGAGGAGACTTCAAGCTTACGAGCACGAGGAAGCACCGCAGGTTACGGAGAAGTTGTTGACTTGAGCGCTGGTGGCTCCGTGGGCCTGCTTGGCGACGATGTTGGCCTCGGCGGGAGCGGCAGAGGTGAGGCCAAAGAGGCCAAGGGCGGCGGTGGCGATGGTGAACTTCATTTTGGCAGTGATGAGAAAAAGGTGATGTGTTCAAAGATTTTTCTTTGGTGTTTGAGATTGAGTGAAGAAGATGTGTGTGAGTGTGGTGGTGGTGAAGATTCAGGCTGAAGTGTTGGAGGGAACGTTGTGGCTTTTATAGACGAGCTTTCGCCACTTTGAACCTCCGTGACCGTCTTCGTCCAGAGGTTGTATTGAGCTCTGTCGGTAGGCATCGGAGCTGACCCTGTTGTCCTCCATCTTGTGATCATGTTGACGATTGGTGAGAACGATATTGTTTGGGTAGGAGCTTGACTAATGCCGCTGGCAAGAAAATAGGTAAGGAGGCTGCATGAAAGAATGAGGCTATCCCAGGATCGGTGAAAGGTGAACAAGCCCTTTCGTCAACTAATTCTACCACTCACGCACATGATTCGTATGAACAGGTAGGCGGACAACGCACTGACCAGAACCAAGCTCTGAAGATGTTTGGTATAGGATTGTCGAAACGCAGGCCAGACCAGATGGAGTTTGCACATAAGTGGGGGAACCTGATCCGATTGGTGGTGCTGTACGACGATGTTTCCATCCATGTCAGTATCTGACTTTGGGATGACTGCACTGGTAGGGCCACAAGAGCCGCAGAAGTGTACCAGGTATGTCGAGCGAAGCTAGTCACAGTGAATGCCCGATACCTATACTTGCTCACTACGGATCAATGTTGACCTGTGTTTTCTAGATCAGTCAATCTTGGGGTGGGCTCATTCTGAGGCTCCTCTCTCCAAGAAATCAAGAACAAGAAGCGCCCTCGTTTTCGTCCCGTGCCGTCCGCCCTGTGAGTGAGCCGCCTTCCCGGCCCCTGCGAGCGCGAAAGACAGGGCGAAATAGAACCTTGTAATGTAGGTAGGGTTTAATACTTCGAACATTGCATATTGTGATCATTGTACGCTATTGATTACCAGGTAGCGGAGATTTCCCCCAGTTCTTGGATTGTGTGGGGGTTGATGACTACGATCAGGCTCACCGAACTTGAAAGTTGCTTGTAAGAGTGAGGCTCCCCATCTTTTGTAGACGCGAGATTTATAAGCTCAATTGTTACAGTGGGTAATTTCAGAAGGCCTGCCTGTCAAGAATGATGTTGTGATTAGGATGGAAGTGCCAGTTCTTTCTCTGAGAGGCTCTAATACGGGCTTGGGGACATGAATTTGCCTGCTGAAAACATTATTGAAATATGTACCACGGTCTGGTGGCAATATGGCAGGGATATGGTGAACCTAGAACACAGGCATCAGCATCACACCGATCAAAGAACCTGGAAGACAGGACATGACAATAGTCAGCCCTAAGGCATTAGCGACGTTTCCCCGCATTTAACCGGCTTGTAGTTCGTCAGGGGTTGGAAACACACAAGTCAAAAGTCGGTTGAGGCACGTCAAGGTCGAAGAAGCTGAGGGGTTTTCAGCTCAAGCACTCGTTATGCTTCAATGTGAGAGCCGCAATGCGGTTCGTACAGCTAGGAAATATGTTCCTGATAATGGGTCTTCCAAAACAAAACAACATTTAAAAGTACCTATAATTGGTCGACCTGAGGCCCTCTCATGCGCGTGATTCGGACTTTGTTCTCGGACTGTTGACCCCTGCCTTGACTCTAGCCCAGAACGAAAACCAATTATGGTTTGAGCCCATTAGAAACTAAAGCCAAGCTGGAATGTGGATTCGTGGGGTAAGTTACTTACATGAGAGGCTGAGTTTGTGGTTGGTTCGTCCCATCTGGGGGCCAGAATGTGATTCAAGACGTCAACTTTGGGCTAGTGCTTATATTTTATGGCGAACCAGGTTTACCATAAGACAAAACTAGAAACATCTCTTCAATGGATGTCCTGTGGTCCATATTTATTGTATTAAAAGAAATACTGTTTTGAGTAATCCGAACACAGTATGTTGGCGACTTTTGTCTGTGGCGAGTGTGAAGCTAACCAGCTAAGTCCTCGCTTTCGACCCTGGCGAATGAGAAGACCTCAAGCTGAGTCGCGCGACCTCCAGCTTCTTTATCTCGGTATCCATGCCAGTGCACTAGCGATTTCATGGAGCAGTTCTAAACCGCATCCAGGCGAAAGGTGGCAATGTTGCCTGTAGGGGCCATCCGTATTATTACTTATAGGACGTGGTTTCAAAATGGTGAGTTACATTTCAAGACCCAGCTGCCTGTGCCTGTCAAGAAGTCTTTTACGCCGCTTGAACAAGAAGTTCGCCAGGATGACTCGTCGTACACATCACCGCATGGGGCAGCGGGCTTGGGGCAGATCAAATAGGACTCTTGAATGCAATCTTTGGAGAGTCACCGAAGGTCTTGCTGGCAGGGGTGGTGGTAGGCACATCCATCAATAGTTCAGGGCTTGCTGTTTGTACCGCACACAGGAAATTCACGAGAATTCCATGGACGAGCTAACTCGTGAGAAATGATGGCCAGATGTAACAGGTAAGGAGTATCGCCGGCCATTTCGAAATACAAAACAACGTGCGTCTAAAGTCAAACCAAGCCGAGGCTCCGGAATTGTAAGCATTCCAGGACGGCCATTATCTTGCAGCGACTTCAAAATTGCGATCATCTGTGCATTACCGGTTGAGTTCGACGCAGTCATTCTTCTTTGTCGACAGGTATTTGTGGACGCATTCCTGTCCCTGGTGCAGGAGATGGTGTGCTCCTTGGGGACGTTGACATAAGCAAGACCATCATTCAGGCTTTGGCAAAAAATACCCAGACGGGTTTAAACGAAGGAATAATGTGGAGGATATCCCCAGCGGAGCTCAAATCCGTCCGCAATCTCCTCTCGGGGTACGATGCCTACAGTGAGCAGGAACTGTCCTCATTTGAGTTAACTTCGAACAGCCAGCGCCAAATTCTCCATGGCGAAACAGTGACAGCCAACCGCTTGAAGTGAGACACAACCATACGTGTCTTTGCCCTAAGAGCGCCAATCTCTGTGTCCTAAGAGCGCCAATCTCTATGTTCAATACGAGCACTGACAATTGTTGAGCTTTTCCGGTGTTTTCTGTGGTGCGAGGCGGCCGCCAGCCAGCTTAAAAAAGCCCACTTCAGCCAGGTTTAGGCATCAAACGTGTCTTTGCATGCGTCACTACTAGGTACTGGACCGGCAATGGCGGAGATGCATGTGTGGAATGGAGCCAGACCAGCCAAGGCCTTCACCGCCAATGTCTCAGAGTATGCGATGATCAAGCCTATACCATATTAGCGATCTACGAGTTGGATCATTCTGAGACCACACTCCGCCTGCGATGTGTGACGAGATGGCCCAGTCGGGAAACAGTTACCGCGCTATCTGCTGCTGGCCAAGCGGAGATCACCATAGAGAAAAAGATATTGGACATGTTAGGCTCGATGCGGGAACTGGCTTTCTTGCTAGCTGCGGCAGGCTCCTCAGTCGGCCCCCGATATAAATATGTAGACGTTGGGTCGGTGGGCCAATTCATTTTGAGCTCACTTTATTCATCATCAGATTCGCTCATCCGACCTATCTTCGAAAAGCTTTCTAGATACCAACTCCGCCTCGTCTCGCGATGCGTCAATTCTATGCTGCGGCACTGGCGGTGCTTGCGGCAATCACCAATGGCGCTGTCGTACCTCGTCAACCCGCTGGTTCCCAAGCCGACTACGATGCCATTATCGTTGGTGGAGGACCTGCCGGTCTGAGCGCTCTGAGCGGCCTCGCACGCGTGCGCCGAAGAGTCCTGCTCATCGACTCGGGAGAGTACCGGAATGCGCCGACGAGGCATATGCATGACGTTTTGGGGTTTGATGGTAAGCTTCCTAGATAGTACCTCGGACCTGGACTGGACCTGACATAGAGCCAAAGGTGTCACTCCGGCTTATTTCCGCTGGGCGGCTCGTGAACAGCTCAAGCACTACGGAACGGTGGAAATGACCAATGGCACAGTCACGAAGATTATGCCGGTGGACGAGCAGAACAGCTACTTCATCGTCACCCACAACAACAAGACCGTGACGACCCGCAAGGTTGTCCTCGCTACGGGACTGCGCGACATCCTCCCAGCAACGCCCGGCGTGCGCGAGAACTGGGGCAACGGCATCTTCTGGTGCCCGTGGTGCGACGGTCATGAACACGCCGACCAGCCGCTGGGACTCCTGGGCTCGCTCGACAACGTTCCCGCCGCGGTGCGCGAGATGTTGACCCTCAACACCGACATCGTCGCCCTTGTCAACGGCACCAACACACCCGAAATGCGAGCTACGACTGAGACCAAGTCGCCTCGGTGGGAGGCATACCTGCGCGCACACAACGTTGGCATTGACAACCGCACCATAACTGCCATTACACGCATCCGCAATGGCACCGACGGCACCGAGGACCCCAGCCTACCAAGTGTGCCGGAACATGATCTCTTCCGAGTTGAATTCGCCGATGGTCCATTCATCGAGAGGGCTGCCTTCCTAGCCGCATTTCCTTCCGAGCAGACGTCTAAAATAGGCGAGGAGACGGGCGTTCGACTCTACGGCGGCCGTCTAGCCGCCGACCCGACCAACGGGCTCGTTACCAATGTGCCTGGTGTGTACGCCATCGGGGACGCCAATTCAGATAACATCACCAACGTGCCTCACGCCTTGTTCAGCGGGAAGCGCACCGCAGTATTCTTGCATGGTAGGTGCTAGTTCCCCTCTAAATTTTTCTTGTTAAACCGCGGCTAACAATGAAACAGTCAGGCTGGCGCGGGAGGATGGTGACAAGGTCCTAAACGGTACTGGGGTCTCGAGGAGAGACATGGAGATCGAGGCAAGGTCACTCTGGGAGACTGTTAGCGGGAAACCGGGAGACATTCTTTATGCTGGCGAATTCGATCAATGAGTCTCCTTTCTGCAAAGATAGGATATCCGGCATGGCAATCTAGGACAGCCTGACTTCCAAAAAAAGACAGAAGCATAGCAATGACTTACCTATGTGTAGCACTATGAAATGAAATGGGTTGGGATCTGCTAGGTGATGTAATATTTATCCAGTACGCTAAAGTTGTGTATGAATTCTTGAATGGGCTGGATATCGTCTATCGGCATAATATTGTGAAGATTAATCCAAACCTTTCTCCAGTTCCCTTCTTATCCTCATTATTACTTCCAGATATTCTTAACTACAGATTCAATATCTCCCTTCCCACATCCCCCAATCGAAGCCTCTTACATGTGGATTTCGTGGAGTACAGCGCTCAGCTTCGCCCCCAATTATCACCTTTCATCACTTTTCAGCCCCATTAGTATTTGGTCCGGAGTGTTGCCACAGCTTCGGTGCGACCTCGGAGCGGGACCTATAGTGCTCTGCGGACTTCGCCATCACCACTTGGTTAGACTTATGGATTGGACCCAGCTTAGTAAGGACGCATTACAGCGCGGCAGGCTTTGATAATTGTCTCATCAATGGGACCTTTTCGATTTTCCCTCGACACAACAATGCAAGGGCGACAGCTCAATCCCCAACATCGACAAAAGCTCGAATTTACCTTCCTGATCCAGGGTCAACGCGAGACATATTGTTTAAATCTGATTATCAGCACAAACATCACATCCACAGCCACCACGACAAAGCATCACCATCATGGTGTATGTGCTTCCCACAACCCAGTCTCCGATCTGGTCCGCGATCAATCAGGAGAGTCAAGCTGCGATGGACTGGGATGCAGCACCACCCAGCTACCTGAGTTTCACGGGAACATGAACTAACACAAAAACAATAACCAGAAGTTGAAGGGAACATGTCCAGACACCCTGCATCTTTCTCTGGCGGGTAGTTTCAGGCGATACAGTCTTCAAATCAGGGGCAGACCGCGACAAGATTGCCCGTCGAGACAAGATCATCGCCTTCGAGATGGAGTTAGCCGGGGTGTGGGACGATTTCCCTTGTGTCGTTGTAAAAGGGGTGGCTGACTATGCGGATAGTCACAAGAACAAGTGCTGGCAGACCTTTGCGGCAGCTACAGCAGCAGCGACGACGAAGGCGCTGTTGGCGATGTACGTACAAAGATCTGTTTATCACATGCCAACGGAGGAAGTTGAAAAAGATATTTCCTTCTCCACACACACGCATTCAACGGAATGAAGCTCTGCAGAAAATTACCGCTTTGTGGAGGAGACAACAAAAGGGGCGGGCGAGTTCAGGGGCATGCATAGGGGAAATGTGTTGCAAAGAAAAGTCAAAAAGCAGTGGACAATATGGGAATTGAACCCATGACCTTTCACAGACGCAGACTGTAGGTAATGCGAAGCGAAAATCATACCCCTAGACCAATTGCCCATCGGAATTGTTAAAATCTTTTTTTCAAAACAGGCTCCATGAGGGCATCGTTGGCGTGGTTTGGGCTGCCAGACTTGGCATAGTGACACCAAAGAAAAGAAAATTCCGTAGATAGCGACCAGACCATGAACACAACGCTTCCGGTAGACATATTGATCCTTCAGGCGACCTTTTGGAAGATCATATCTCTTGACCATGCCTTTTTGAGCTTCTCCACTCTCTCTTGACATCCCGTCGTTGATGGTGTTGTCGCTGATGGTGTTGACGGCTCCAAAGAAACCCGGGGTGCTCAAATTTGAGGGGCAAGCTCAAGAAACCCTAACCCAAATCCCGAATCCCGACTAAACTTTATTGCCCCCCTTCCCCTTGCAGATGCGTCCAGAGAGGGACCCCGAATCCCTATCGACCCCTGGCATTCCACCACGTGCACCCCGCTATGATCGCGAAGTCGCAATTCCTTGCTAGGATTGGAGCTGATCGGCGGTGTCTGGTTCGATCCCTTTGGGTGCAGAAAAGTCATGCCAAGACCGCACGGGCTAGGAGACGTCTTGGGACATACTCTTGGTGTGACTTTTCTGCACCCAAAGGGATAACATTTCCGCAGGGGCTCGAGCGAGGTTCATGGCGAATGTGGGCGTGGCGACGGAGGGGCTGGGGTGAGGGGCGAGAAGGGATCACCACCTTCTTGATCTGTCGCACTCGCTCGAGCCTCAAGATCTGTTTGGGCTTTTATAGTTTGAAGGCTAAGACGGATCTGTGTTGGTGGATGTAACCTGCGGCTTTTCGCTAGCGCAGGTGGGACTCGGTCGATCCATGGGGTCCTTTTCGTGGAAAGTCCACTTCGGTGTCTGGGTACGGACTTTGCTCCGGAGAGGGTGGGTCAACGGGAGAGGCGAGATAAACACCATGTTGCCGTATGGGAAGTGGCTACCCACGGTGAGGAGATACCTTGGGGTGAGTGGGGAGCAAGAAGAGGGTGGAAAGCCTGACTTGACGGATCTGGACGGCGGGGAGGTTTTCATCAGAGGGGGGAGCAGACAGCCCGGAAGGAAGAAGGGAGGGGGAAAGGTGTGTGGTGTGCATTATGTAATCTTGTAGCATGTTACGATCATGGAGATGGACGATTGATGATGGGGCTGGCTCTAGAACAGCATGTTGATATTTGAAGAGGACCAAGGCTGATCTCTCAGATGCAATGAATCGAATATTGACGGCCGTGTACTCGGAACAAGAACGCTATGATGATGCTGGTATTTACATAACATTACTATGTATTTCTAAAACCAAAGAGAAACATTTGCCTGACTTTTGTTTCCTCAAAATGAGAGCCATCACTTAAGCCGCGGGCGCATAAAAGTTAAAAACTCTCTGCGGGTCGTACTTGTCCTTGAGCTGGAGAAGCTTGCTCGATCTCCAGCTCTCATGACCGTACGTCTCCTGCTTGGTCTCGTCACCATAAGCATAGTTGACATAAGTGTGCTTCTGGCTCCTGCCGCTGCCAGCATGCAGGATGTTACGGAGCTGGTTGCCGAAGGCCTTGGCCTGGGCATCCAGCGCAGCGCTGCCGGGGGTGTACTGAACCAAGGGAGCAGTAAGCAAGTTGTTCTCACGGAAGGCATAAGCGGTCGAGGCAGCGTTGATGGCCTTGACACCCTGCATGGAGTAGCCCTCGAACATGAAAAGAGAGGTGGCAAAGGGAGAAGAGGAGTTGGTGCCGTCCTTGAAGGCGTTGTAGAGCGTGGCCATGGCAGAGGGGTTGTATTGCTCAAGGTAGAGAGGGAAGCGGGGGTTGGCAGCACCCGTCTTCTGGCATGGGGGTCCGTCAAGGGAGATGCCCACCCAGCTGGAGACGTCCTTGTAAGTGCCAGTGTTGTTGCTAACAGAGATGGGGCCAAGGGCAATGAAGGGCGCGGTGTAGGTAGTGTCAACAGCAGTGACGCCCTCCTGGATGATGTAGAACTCAATGACGGGGCCGGTGGGGTCAATGGGGGAATGTTCATCCAGTAGGACCAGTTGATGATGTCAACAGGCTGGGTGCCATTCTTGAGGAGGTGGTCGTTGGCGGCCTGGTACAGAGCCTGAACCTTGTCGCCAGTGTACATCAAGGTCGTGATGGCCCAGTTGGTCTTGACGATGGGGAAGATCTTGATGGTGACTGAGGTGACGATACCAAAGTTGTGGCCGGCACCCTTGACAGCCCACCAGAGATCAGAGTTGGAGTTGATGGTGCGGAGCTGGCCATCGGCAGTGACGATCTTGGCAGACACCCACTGATCAGCGATCAAGCCGTGATGACCCTGGAGCCAGCCGTGACCACCGCCGAGGCCCGGGCCCATGTAGCTGACGCATTCGCATGTGCCCGTGACGGCCTGCTTACCAGCGGACCAGAGAGCGTCGATGAGGACTTTGGAGTTGGTGCCACCGAGGACGGTGGCCGTCTTACCGTCAGAGCTAATGGTAACGCCGCTCAAGGACCTCAGGTCAATAGCAATGCCCCAGGTCATCTGGCCAAGAGTAGTGAGGGCTCCATGGCGTCCGTTGTAGGCCAAGAATGGGATGTTGCAGTTGTTGGCGATGCGGACCTGGTGATGAAGTCAGGATTCAGATGTGATGTAAGAAGGTGGGAAGAAATACTTACAAGTTTCGTAACATCGCTTTCGACAGCTGGAACCACGGTGATATTGGCGATAGGAGCACCGACATTGGACCATCTCGTGGTGGCCTCCTCGAACTCGGGACTGTCGGGATAGTAAATCTCGGTTTGGCCCGAGAGATCATTACGCGCGAGACGGCAAAAGTCAGCCAGACTGCAGCCCGGAGCACGCGCCAAAGTGCCGATGGCGTACTCGCTGGGAGTTTCGGTAAATTCTGCGTCCTGCGCAGCTGCCATGGACCAGGCAGCCGCGGCGACGAGGGTGCTCCTGAGCCAGCGCATTGTCATGACCGGAGGAGAGACGGGGGACGGGATGGCCGAGGAGAGACAAAGGGTGGAAAGGAGCCGAGAGTGTTGCCCTGCAAAAAGCAACACTGCAAGCCTCACCGAGAAGGAGCGGTCCTGCGGGAGTTATATGTGCGGACGGGCTGTCCAGGCCATCGGGTCCAATCGTTGTTTGTCTGTTGGACCCAAGCCCCTGGAACCCAAAAGCCTGCTGCAGTCATGCGCGCCATGGCTCCTCGACCACGAGGCAGCAGACAAAAGCAGTTACCGCGAGAGGCGTTCCCCTTTTCATCTCTGCCCGCCATAACACTATTGCAAAATCGCACCATGCACCCCAGCATCCAGCATTCCCAGACGTCAGGGAATATGATCCGGCACTGACTGTTTCAAGATATCGCCAATTGTTTGGCAAATACCAAGCCTTCAGTTACCTAACCAACGTTAGTTCTTTCAGACGTCAAGACTCGACATTGACTTAATTTTGGAACAAGGTGGAGTCGGTTTGAATTGCTAAACACTAACCCAGTAACCGAGCCGGGGCATTTTCCGGGGATGGTTGGAGTGTCCGTTAAGTCCAGACCGTCCGCATCAAAACCCCACTCTTTGCTCTTGTAAAACGCCGACGGCACTGTTTCTGGTGGATACCGTTAGCAGTTGAATTCCATCGGCCAATGCTGAAGTCGAAATGCCTCCACGGTCATCGCCAATCCCGATAGATGGTTGATAGCCTCAAAGATGCCTCGAAACGAATACATACAGTGCTTGGATTCGTGGAATAAGGGTAAGGGACGCCTGAATTCTCGGAGTGGCGTGAGACTTCAGCTCGACCAGCAATGGAATGTATGTACACTAGCACTTCGTAAGAACCCCTGAAAATGCAACAGTGGACATGGGCTAGAGCCTGCAGATGTTTTGTGAACAAGCCACATGCATTCGGCGACCAGGGCAGTGGAGACGGGTCCGAGGCGAACTTTCAACTGCCGCCATTGGTCCCAGGAGAGTTAGTAAGTTACGAGGTTGCATCACAGAGGGTGCTTATCGGCCAGACTGCTCGGGTCATGTTCCAAAAGAGTTCCGTCAAGCAAGCCGCATAAAGACCTTCTTCACCAAGTGAAGGAAGAAGCAAACAGAGGCCTGCACGTCACCCCTTGAACCCTTCCACGCTTTTTCCCAGGAGGAAGGCTCCTCCGATGGGGTTCTTCAGCTCTGCCGCGAGTCCTTGTTGACCCTTCCTTGTGCAGATAGTAGTCAATCTTTTCCTCAATGTACAAATTTATGATGGGTCCCATGTCTTTCTTGTTGTGATCTTCTTGTCTTTTCGCCATTTTTGTATTTTCGGCTCTCGACAGCCGAATCTTGACGTGATTCCCCCAGATTTGTTCGATAGCCGAATCGCTGGTTCGTGATCACGATGGCGGATGCGGGTCCACCATCACCAGAGGCCATCGCCGCCGCTCTCGCCGCGGCGCGAACCTTCAACATCACGCTCTGGACCCTGTATGCGATAGGTGTATGCACCACGGCTCTGCGCACCTACTCTCGATATGGTCAGGTTGGCTTTTCCAACTTTGAAACAGATGACTACCTCGTGTGGGTGGCAGTTGTAAGTTGTCCCTAAGGTATTCACCTTAACTGACCGTTGCCTGGTGCCCATCAGCCTTTGCTGACAATCGACGGTGACCAACAGCTATTCTACACCGTTCAAGCATGCCTAGGCTTTCAGATCGGCAACCTTGCCCAAGGCCTGGCAAACAATGGCATGACAGACGAACAAAGAATGTTATTGCTGCCCACTGATCCAGAATGGGACAGGAGAGTCATCGGTTCCAAAATCCAGGTCGGGGGATGGACATGCTACTCTACCTTGATGCTCATTCTCAAGCTAGCAATGCTTTTCTTCTACCTCCGCTTAACGGTATGCATTTCCCCTCATCTTACCATCTACAGCAAAAGCTCACTGGTTTCTAGAACGGCCTTGGCCGTCGTTACCGCATGCGCGTGCACGCCGGATTCGTCCTCATCATCGCAGGGTGGCTGGCCTCCATTCTGGCGATCTTCTTCG